TATTGACCCGGAACCATAATGCAGATGAACTGCATTGTCCATTCCTTACTTTGTTTATTTTTTTTCCGGAATTTTGTGTCATAGTGTGGACGCAGTTTGTTTGGCAAGAACACAGATTCACCTAGAGTACAGTATTCTTTGTTTAGCCAAAACCAAAGTGTCACGCGACTGGTTCATAATATTAGGTCGTTCCGTAAGTTCTTTCCGTTTTTTCATCATATCATAAAAACACGTGGAACGAAGAAAAAGAAGTGCTTCAGGCAATGTCCAACGCAGCTTTTCTTCCTCTTTTCAACTATCATATTCCTGTGCCGCTCGCTCTTGTGGTCAGTGAGATAATGGCCGAAATTTCGGACCTATAGTTTTTACCATGTCCAACTTTGGCAATTTTTCACTATCTTCCTTTTTGACTTTTGGAAAAGCTTTGATAGCAATGGGATAGAGTAAACAAAGTGCAATGAAATGCAATTTTTTGGCAATTTCAGCTGGCTTCTCATTATTTTTTGACATAACTTTTTCAGAAGTCTTCACTTTTTCAGAGTCACAAAACACACAAACGCTCTGAACATCAACAAATCTTCGGTTTTCGAAAATTTCAAAAGTCGTTTATGATTGTACACTATTTTTACAAAGTAACTGAGCGTTTACCGCTTCGAAATATAAGATTTCGCATTTCACGGGCACATCATGAGGCGGGTACAAAATCAAGATTTATGGAAATTTTATCGCCAAAGACCCCACAAACTAAGAAGAAAAAGCATTTATCAGAAAGGCGAGAAAAAGCTGCATCGAATAACACCTTAGTTGTGCGCCGTTTTATGTTCTATGGCTTCTGGCATCCCCAAAAGTTGAATTTGATAGCATCAGAAAAATAATTCTAAAAATGTTTTGAGGCTAGCTATAGACGCCGAAAAATTGCATGATATTGCACTTTGTTTACTCTATCCGACTGCTATTAAAGCTTTTCCAAAAGTCAAGAAAGAAGATAGTGAAAAATTGCCAAAGTTGGACATGGTAAAAACCATGGGTCTGAAATTTCGGCCATTATCTCACTGATCACAAGAGCGAGCGGCACAAGAATATGATAGTTGAAAAGAGGAAGAAAAGCTGCGTTGGATGGTGCCTGAAGCGTTTCCCTTTCTTCGTTCCACGTGTTTTTATGATATGATGAAAAAACGGAAAGAACTTTCGGAACGACCTAATAAGTATAGTATTTGAGAGAAAAGATGCTCACATTATCTTGTAATGAAATTATGTTACTTTGATGGTGTAATTACGGTTCAAAGCGGTTGAACGCTTTGCTCATTGTTGATGATACTGCTCGCAGTTATTACCCCTCTGAATGAAAGGAGGCCGTTTCGAATTAAACTTATCCCATCCCAATCATCAAAACCTCGCCCAACTGTAGAAATCAAGAAACTATAGATTGTGAGATGTTTTAGGGTGCAAACTGAAAAAGACTGTACTTTTTTCAGCTTATATCCACTCTCCGAAGAACTTCATGTAACGTGTTGATAGTACACAACTTCCAGCTTGTGAAAGCGCCATCACAACTGTGCCCTGTGCTGGACTACAAACTCTAAGGATGCACGATATTTTTTCCTTATCATGTCTCGTCATATTTTCTCGAAAGAATTCATCTTAAGCTCCAAAATTTATAAGCCCACTTTGGACACAAAAGACGCAGCAGCACAGGGCTCAGCTGTGATGGCGCTTTTACAAGCTGGAAGTCGTTTTCCGGAAGCAAGGAAAAGGGAACCCGTAAAGATCCCAAGGCTGATCTTCGGAATTCTTCCAAATTCTTAGCAAGCACAACTTCACCTTTGCTAGGCCCGAATTCGAAGCGCTGACGTCATTGAACCATTAGTAGTTAAATTTACACGCTATGAAGATAAGTGGATCTACCTGTGTGCACACATTTTAAAACACAAATGTTATGCACAAAAAGATGGGCAACCTGCTTGTTTACAACAGTAAGCAGCACTGAGCCAACAAATTTGCTGTCTACATTCGCGGCTCCCGCGCAAGTTGGGAGCACCGAAGTTGCGAGGAACAAACAAATTCATAACTCTTTCCTTTCTAATTTTTGATATTTTTCAAACATAAATCTTACAGGTCAAGCTCTACCTAAGAGTGTTTGCCCTGGTCTAAGTTTCGTCCACTCTGCCTTGCTATGTTCCTTGATGATTTGAAAAATCGGTTTTTTTGCCTGTCGTTGTTTTGTCTTTAATTTTTCTTGCGTTCTTTTTGATTTCATGTACCCTATTTTCAGGTGTATAAGCCGCGGGGTGGTCCTAGCTTACATCGACCAGCCCGAACACGTCAAAGGACCTCGCAACCAAAGGACCCTACACTGTGCTGCGTATTGCCTGAAAGAATCGTGCGGCATAAAGATCGCTTCTCGAAACACAATAAAGCGACCGAGCAGCTCGTGGGAAAATTTGAAAAAGTGCGGCTTATACACCTGAAAATAGGGTACTCATCATTCGCTGCGGATTATTGGCCGTACTTCTACAAACACCACAAACGGTATTTGTACTTCTGCAATGTCAAAGGGGTAATCGTCGTTTGAAAACTGGAATGCCATCTTGGGCTGAGCGGCCAATCACGAGATTGGCTAATGGACAGCGATGAAGCGACTTTGCTACTGTCGATGTTTAAGAAGCTGTGTAGGTTTTTCGATCAGAGGCGCTCTTTCTATTGAAAAAAAGACAGGCGTTGTTGCTATTCCGGATCCTAACAAGGAGGAGAGGAAGATTTTTGGAGCCAAAATGTTATTATGCACTATGCTTCAAGTGTAGAAAAATTAAAAAATTTCAAAAAGCTTATGGCTAATGGAGGTTTTGCCTACCTCAAGTGGGGGTTAGATGGGCAGCTGTTCACCTAATTTGGAAAAAAAGTTAGCGCGTTCTTTTTTCAAATGAGTTTTTCATAATAGTTCAAACTTTGTTCCCTAGCCTAGTGTGTACAGATATCGAATTTCGTGCCATATCGTCATCTGTGTATTGCAAGCAAGCCATTTTATCATTTTGTGGCAGTGGAAATTTTTAGAAAAACTTGCCACAACCTCGACATAATTTTTCTGCAGTACTCTGCATGTGCTCCTCCTAGTTCAGGTACGTTTAGGCCCCAATTTCTCAGTCATATCGTTGTGTATGAGTAGTAAACAAAATATTCAATTACAATTTAATAAAAACTTTTTTCTGAATTTTTGAAGATGACGCGTGAACAAAATCGTGTCTTTGCATGTAAGCAGTATAGCAACTTTTCTAGAGACTTGTACAAGTAAACCTATATCGAAGGCAACGTCTAGACAAACCCGGACATGCGCACATGGATAGCAACTCTGGGGCCCTAACTGAGCCACTGCCCAAGCGGCAGCTCAGGTAGTGCTCTAATGGCTGAGATATTCATCTCGAAACTGCACCCAGAATTGGAGTAGGGGAACGAAGGCCGCCAGTTTGAGTTGCCCGGACTACTGGTCCTGAAACGACATGCAACGACATTGCGAAAGGACCAGTTGGTCGCGAAAGGAGGTCAAACTGGCGGTCACCCCCAATATTGTACGTCTGCCCCAATCCTAACCAGGCCAAAATCGGCATGGCGGGAGTCCGCGCTGCAAGGGTTTCGCGCCACATCTTCGGCTAGCTAGTCTGCTCTCTCCTCGATCTCTTCACTCTCTGCGACAGCGCGCGTATGCAGCGCAATCCCCTAGCGCTGCGAGCGCGCAAATTCAGCCGACGGTTCGGCCTGATCCCGATTGGGGCAGACTGTATTTCGCATGGATTGATGGCGCAACCCATTAGTTTCGCTTGGTCCTCGCCCGAGACTGATGTGTTGCGCCATGGATCCATGCGAAATACGATCCTGGGGTCCACTTTCGAAGCGTATATTTTAGTCAGTTGGTGAGTCATCTGCGCTGCCGCTTGGGAATATATTCAGATTTACCTGAACGCTGCCTTTAACCATACCCCCTTTGCTTTCCATCTGTAACGATTTCCAACTTGACGTTCCATCTCGTGCCGGGTCCTGGTTCGGCACGTTTATGATCACCTCATTTCAAAGCATTATCAAGCGAGCGCCCCATGCAAGCGACAGCCCTTCTGCGACGAAATATTGTTTCTGAAAAGAGAGTATAGCTTTAGAAGTGCAAACAGACCCTCCTCTCGATTTAGTATCGCCCTCATTCAGTATCGCAGAATCGCGGCAGGACACATACGTTGCAACGTTGTCATTGGCGAAGTAGCGTGTCCGACGCAATTTCTTGCCTTGCTAAAGGTGATATGAGCCCCACGCCTAACGGTTTATTTTAGGCTATAAAACAGTTGCTGGGCGCGCAATCATCGGAAGGTGAAAATGGGACAAACGAGAGTTTGGATGGCTATCGAATCGTGATTTGACAGTTATTTAAAGTGGAGGTTTTCATGTATTCATGTGGGCTAGAGGGAGTAGTGTTTTGTGTTAAGTCATGGGGGTCCAATATGTGAAGAAAAATACGAGATTTGGTCCTAAGATGATGTTACTCATTATGTTTGATAGGGTCTCATGTTATGCCTACTAGACGATAACGCTGAGAGATTTAATAAGACACAAAGGGGTTGCATCCGGCGGTCGTGTGCTACAGCTCTTGCTTGACTTGGTTAGGATATCTTTCGTAAGCTTCTTCCACACCTCAGCTAGATTGATCACCTAAAAAACTTTTTGCAAACTAAATAATTGTAGATAGAATCATGGAATTTTGGTCTTCTCTTGGACAACTTTAAATCTTTTTTCCATTTCTAAAATCATGATGAACTGAATTGTCTCCCATTCTGTGCCCCGCCGAATTAATCAACGTTACTGAGTGCAGCATGGTCTAGATGGTTAAGATAAATGTTTCACGGCTTTAATCAAGAAACTCCTAATTAGATTGCATCTGAAACGCAATAGATTCGCCTACAGTGTCTTTGAATTTTTTGCATAGTTGAAACACTTAATTGTCAATAGTCCCTCAACATAAAACCACCTTTACCTTTTAAAGCGAATTATTGTGCACAACCACGGAATAAATACATTTATGCAAATTCACAACGTATAACACCATTTTGTACAATAATTCATTCTGTTTTCATCTACTTCCGAATATTCTCAACATAAAGAGGAATATGTTCAGGATATCCAAAAATATCTGCATCGAAGCAAATATGTACTCTTCAGGTGAAAGCTCAAACCGTCGACCACCCATGATAAGCTGTAATATACTCATTAAATGAAGGAACTTCGCAAAAAGCAAAAAAAACAAACCTGTATGTCAATTGCCAAGTAGAGCATAGATAGCAGCGCACCTAATACAGCGTAGACAGTGTAGAGGAATGTTACTCGAAAGGCTAAGACCGAAATCGTAGCAGTGATACCGAAGAACAACATTGTCATCCCGAGAATGTAGACAATACCAATAAGTCTGAAAAAAACTTTTTTTACACCTGCTAACCACATTTTTGCGCAATGGTGTGCGGCGGACTAAATTTCAACCAAAGGTGCCCTACCATTTTAGTTTATGATTACATATAACCAGTTGGAAATAGTAACGTTCTGCATTTGTTCACCCCGGAAACCGCCTACTCCAGCGCCGTTTAGGCTCCCGCCAGAGTGCCGAAGTTATGCCAGCGCTACGCCAGCATTTCGATCGATACACGTGTATTTCGTTGGGGACGTCAGCTAGCCCCGCCCCAACGAAATACACGTGTATCGATCGAAATGCTGGCGTAGCGCTGGCATAACTTCGGCACTCTGGCGGGAGCCTTACAGGTGTAGGCTGCTGCATGACGAAGGCGCTATATCTTTGGGCGCGAACGCGACTTAATTAGCCGCAGAGCACATGAGACGCAGGATTTGCAACGTGAGAAGGCGCGCGCGTCGCGTTTTCGCGCCCGCTCAGCTAATATTGCTTCTGTGCCTTTGTCATGCAGCAGCCTTTACTCTCTTTGTACACAAAGTGCATGGAAGAAGTCTGATAGAAGTCCTCGAGTCCAAAACCCAACTTTTGGCTCCACCTCCCGCCGGGTAAGCTCCATCCCTGCAGTGGCAATCCCCACTCACTTTGCCCTATTTGCTCAGATCTGTGCAGATTTGATTTTTTTCATGGTTATATTCTTGCATCAAATGACGGTCTGTAATGCGTATCCAGTCTATGATTGATCCTTGCCTAAGGCTACCCTCCAGAATTGCTAGTAGTAAACTTCAGTTTAAAAAGTCTTTATCATTGAACGATGCAAAGAAAACCGCAGCGCAACCCCAATGCGAGGCGGTAGGCTATGAGCCATGCGACATTACTTAAACAACCTTTGATTCAACTGCCTTGGCTACTGAAAGGTGGGGCTTTGGCACCTGAACAAGGCCGCTCGCGCCCGCAACGCGGTCTGCGCCTTTCCGCGCGCGTGCCTTATACCCTACCGCTCTGGTCATCAAAGTCGCCTGCACGAAATCGCCCGGGTTCGAAGCTCCACCTTCCAGCCGCCAAGCGACTTAAATCAAAGGGTGCATACGTTAAAAATCTTCACTGTCAACCTGAAAAATCAATAACCAGTTTATTAAGAAAACTTACGTTGTGAGATCCTTCTTGATGTAAATTGCAAATACCACTATAGCTGCTGATACACCCGTAGTGATACAAAGCGCTAGCAGCACAGACTCTACATTGTAAAAAGATGTCGTGGACATTGTCATGTAACCGCTCGCCAATGTCTGCAAATGCACAAATTTCATGGTTTACTCAATAAGGAGCATAACCATGGAAGCGAAACTCACAAAAATGCCCAAAGTGATCAAATTCGCTGGATACGATCTTCGTACGGAACTACAGCATAGTAAGACTATTGAAGTTACTATGAACACACATCTGAAAATGCGTGAATAAGATGAGACATTGTATTCCTGATGCAAAAAGGGATCAATTTTCGCAAATTTTGGTAAATTTCGTCATCAAAACGACAAAATTGGAACCTGTAATCCACCAATTTTGTTAACCATGACCGAATAACGAAAACTGGTCCCCAAGCAAAAATGCCAGAGCCAAAGGTCACGTTCTGTCAACAAGCCAGATGTGCATTTTATAAGTAAGGTGGAACTCACATGGAAACAAGAAAGAAGACCCAATTTTGTTGAATCCACCTTTTAAACGGTGGAAAGATGAACGGCATTGCGCACATTATCGTTACAACGATAAACTGAAAATAAGGCGATTTTAAGATATATAATAGAGAAAACGTGAGTCAGAAGCCTTGCGTTCCATAGATCTTACCATAATTGTGACGAGGGTGAAGACTTTAGCGACAAATCGTGATCTTATGGATTGGTCACTGAAATAAAGACGATCATTTGAGTATATGTACAGGATTTGGAAAAAGAGGAATTTGCAAACAGCAGCCGCTCAGATAAGTGGAAAAAGTTGGTGTAAAATTATGTTAAGTATAGCCGAAAAAAACCCTATGACTAAGGTTTACACAGCAAAATATATTATCTAAAGGAAAAAATGAGAAAATAAATTCTGATAATGCCATGCGCAACGTGTAGGTGTCGATAAAGTTGTCTAATGCGCAAATATGTTTATACTACATTTTTTAAAAAGGTTGAAATTCAAATTTTTACGATGATATTATAACGTATCGATATGGGCCGCTTAGAATGATACTATTTGTACTTACAGCTTCTTATGATCGCATGGAAAAACTAAATAAAAATTTCAAAATAATAAAAATCCAAAATAAATCTCTTCGCTTCCCGCCATTCGCACATATGCCATGGGTAAAGTGAAAAAGATATAAAATCCGCAAAATACCAAACTCTTTGGCATCCATCCAATTTTACACTTGAATAATAACATGAAAAACACAAATGTTACAAAACAAAAGCTTGATATATGCACATAAGGTTGCACATCAACCCGAATTTTGAGTCAAAGCCTAGTAGTCAGATTTTTGCGAAACTTACACTTGCTACAGTCATTGCCACTCAAAGAAATACTTTTTTACCGCTGTCAAATGTAAAAAAAGAGAAATAAAATGCCTGATTATACTTACCTGAATTGAAGGCTGTACTTCGCATCTTCTTCACCAGCTGGAGGGGCAGTTGGCTGAGTTTCCATGTTCGTTCGCCTAAATATACTCTATTCACTGCATATTGCAAGCTCAAGGAGGACAGCATTTTTCTCGCGAATTGTGTGTGTTCGAAAACTGAAAAAAAGAAAGGCAACACGACACCATAGATTAACAAAGGGTGAACTTCTGCCGACAATGTTCAATTTATAGACACTGACGGAAAGACATCACGTCAGTGGAGCGATAAGGACTTGTCATAAAAATGACTCACACAAAAAAAATTATGCGAACGACTATTCAAAGAAAACCACATCACAAGTTGTTGCTGCAGTTCTAAATTCAATTCAATTTATCAACCAGAGATAGCCTCAATGTAATGCTCATCCTGCGTTGCTTTTGTTTCTTTTTACAATCGAATGCATTTCGGCATGCTGGGGGCAGAATCTTGACTCACAAATGTTTTCTTTAATATCCAATGGACGTTTCCGACGCCTTTATGACACATATAATATATGTGTCATAAAGGGTTTCCAAGAAATGTGCCTACTGTCTAATTGTCATAACTTTCTTGTGAAGAACTTTCGAGAAGCTGAGGTAACATTTTGTAGCGAATCACCGATTTCCATTTATTACTCTAGAATTACAGTAGGAACTTTGAAGAGGGTTTTGAGCTAAGGAGGGCAATATTTTACAACAGAAAGTAAACAAAGCCTGAATACTTGAGCACTAGGCTTGGGTTGCTGAAATGCTTCCTTGAATTCCCAAAAATGTGGTTAAACTCTCTAGAAAGATCACAATCTTATACAAAGTTGGGTGTCAAACTTAGCGTCCATGTAAACTCTATCGAGCAGGCTTTTAGATTTTCAATTATTTAGAACAGCAGATTTGAGCTTTACAAAATAGTATCTGAAGATTCTCGAAACACTTCGCGACAAGAGAGTTATTAACATTCAAACAGTAGGCACATTTTCTGTGATCTCTGTATATCAATAGTTTTCCGGACTCGACCACTTTGCTCACTGCCTTTGGCTTCACCTTGAAAGAAACTTTTGTCTTCTACTTGAGCTGATTCAAAAGTGTTATGGCTTTCATTTAGCCCTATATGGTCGACCCCAAAATGGCTTACAGGGAATTAGGAAACTTTCCGGCCGCAAGCATTCCCATTTCACACTTGAACGCTCTCTTCGTTTTTTTTGTGCTCATAGCATTTGTTTTCACTAAGTTCAATTTTGGTTACGATAAAATACAATTTGAAAAAATTGAGCTTTTTTCTTGAAATGCTGATTCAAAAGGAATCCTTTTTTTCTGTGGTTTTTCAAATGTGCTAATGTTTTCAAACAATAGAATTGATCTGGAAATACCGTGCCTTGGATAACCAGAGATGCAGTCCTGCAATTTTGTCCACATCTACAAATCCAATCCCAGTTTTTAAAAAACTTTAATCAAAACATGGAAGAATGCAAAATTTTTAGAAACGTGCATAGCGAGAGTAAGAGAGATGTGCGACAAGTGCACACTGAGATAAGACTTTCAAAAACTTTTGAAGTCAAAAAATTACAGCAAGAATTGCACGCTCATTTAGTGTTCTTGATCGTAAGCTATCGCGGATTTTTTTAATATACTGAGAACGTAGGCTTAGGACATTTGGTAGTGGGAAGGCAGAAACATGTTTCCGTTTTCAAGCTTTTGAAATTTGGAATAAAGCTGATAACGCATTTACCCTCCGCTTCGAAAAAATCGAGTAAAGCTGTCCCTCTTGAAATTTTCCAAACCTTCCAGCGAAATATGATTATCTATTAATTAGGCAGTCTCCAGGTCTGAAACAGTAAAGCAAAAAGCGCCAAAAATGTGCACAACCCCTGTAAATATTCTCTGAAATTAGAAACTTTTTACTTCTCGTTTCACACAGGATATCTAGTGCTGATTTCAATACTTTTTTTGCCGCTCAGATTGCTATCGCTAACAGTTCACTGCCCAACTTAGTACCACAAAATACCCAGGTTCAAGATAACAGAACCAACAAATTTGAGCTTTTGGAATCCTCGTTTGTCTATTATAGCCAGGGCTCGGCACGAGGTGGCTAGATGAAAATGCAAAAAAAGAAGTCCCACTTGAATTCGAATTTTTACGAAGTCCCCATTGATCTTAGACCATATATCCAAACCCCCCCCCCTGCCCAAAAAACGAAACCCCCTTTATTTTTTGTCCTAAAAATGACATCCAGCTTGCTTGTAAACCACCTGTGCCGAGTCCTGACTATAGCTATAATACCAAGTTTCGTCATTTGCCTGGATCAGCAGAGCAAATGCATAGAAACAAACTAGCAGAATGTGAGACAGATGGATGTTTGAAAATAGCTCAGAGAGGACAAGAAAGTGCGAGGGACTAGTTTACAGCCCTTCATACTAAAATGCAATGAAGTGTAGAAGAAAAATTAAAAATCGAGAAGGGCTCCTACGCACGCGCACAAACCAGTTTTGCATGTCAATGCCAGCCGCTTTTGATAAAAACTATTATAGAAGTTTTTCTAGCTGTAAAATTTCGTAAGAACAATATTATTGATAGTTTCGCTGATAATCGAAAGGAAGTGAACAAGTTATCATATATCAACTATTAGTGCGAAATAGAGGCCGGACTTTGGCGATAGCTTCCAAAAGAGAATTTATTATCTTGAGCGTTCAACGCAGTAATCCTTACTATAATATACATTCGATCTTTTCAAGCGCGACGGCAGAGTTTTCTGCGTCCCTCCTATCCTTAACCCCAGCGTGACGGAGGGTCCAGTTGCTGAAGGAATCCAGAAAAAGGAATGCGAAAATATAACGGCGCTCAATGATGACGAAAGGAGAGGCCAGAAGCCATTGTGTCGGCGAGAGATTTGCTCGCACTATGGGTCCCGCCGCGGAGCGCAGATTTTTCAACATTGAGCTTAGCGGCTACGAATCGACACAAAGGTGTATGTGTGCATGCTAATTACAAAAACATTAGATTTCAGAATCATCTATTACCTATCGGCTACCTTTATGCATTTTGTTGCTGCACTTGCTATGTGTTGAAATTACAAGTGCTATGGTAGTGGCAGTCGTTGTGTACGGAGTCACGCCAGCTATCGATCTCCTTTTTGCTTGAGTTCCACTTGCAAGACGAGCTTACAGTTCTGCTAACACCGTCTGTTATCCTCCTACACAAATAGCCTAATTAGCCTTTAAAAAATTCGTATTCCATTCACGTAGAACTTCTAGCAGAGCTATAACACAATTTTCGGGGAAGTTTGCGGCTATTTTCAGTGTTTATCGAAAAAAACTAAGCATTCCATGAAGTACGGCCTCAAAGAGGGAGGAGATAAATTTGGGAAGACAAAGTTTGTGCACGCATCTCAACAACAGAAATGTGCCTTTGAAGGTGAAGTGCTCAAAAATCGCATTGTTTTCAGCGAAGAACATAGCATTCCGTCAATTCTGGCCTCAAAGGGGGGGGGGAGTAGAATTTGAACTTTGCAAAGTAAAAGCCTTATCTGGAGAGACTTACCACCCTTTTCTGCATAAACTTCAATAAAATCATCAAAAGTTATTTTCTCATAAAACTTTGCTCTACAATTTGTTTCAGTGAAAACTGAGCATTCCACAATTTCGGAGGATTGGGTAGATTTGGGGGAATCAAACAGCCTGCGCCAAAATTTTGAAATCCGACTTTGAAGGTAGAGTGCTCAAAAATCTGATTTTATAGCGAATGAATCAGCATTGTACCAATTTTGGTCTCGAAGGAGCGAATAACCCAGCATTTCACTGATTTTGGACTCGAAGGACGAGAGGGTTACTTGGGGAATAAACAGCCTGCGCCAAAATATCACAATCTGGCTTTGAAGGTAGAGGGCTCAAAAACCTACTTTTTTAGCGAGTAAATCAGCATTGCACCAATTTTGTTCTCGAAGGGCGAGGGGGTTACACTTGGGGGATAAACAGCCTGCGCCAAAATATCAAAATCTGGCTTTGAAGGTAGAGTGCTCAAGAATCTACTTTTTTAGCGAGTAAAACAGCATTGCACCAATTTTGGTCTCGAAGGGCGAGGGGGTTACACTTGGGGGATAAACAGCCTGCGCCAAAATATCAAAATCTGGCTTTGAAGGTAGAGTGCTCAAGAATCTACTTTTTTAGCGAATAATTGAGCACTCCATCAGTTTTCTCGGAGGAGGAGGAGGAGATTTGGGGTGGGGAGGGGACATTAATCAGCCTGCCACACATTTCAACAAAATTCATCACAAATTTGCTTCAAAGGTAAAGTGCTAACCCCATTTTCATTTCATTCCCAGTATAGATCCGATTTTTTAGCTAAGAACTGAGCACTCTACAGTCTTGGAGGAGGAGGAGTAGGTTTGGGGGGGGGGCAGAGGCCTGCGCCAAAATTTCAAAATCCGACTTTGAAGGTAGAGTGCTAAAAATCTGATTTTTTAGCGAATAACACAACATTCCGCTAATTTTGGTCTCCAGGACAAGGGGCTAGATTTCGGGGGATCAAACAGCCTGCGCCAAAATATCAAAATCTGGCTTTGAAGGTAGAGTGCTCAAAAACCTACTTTTTTAGCGAGTAAAACAGCATTGAACCAATTTTGGTCTCGAAGGGCGAGGGGGATAGATTTCGGGGGATCAAACAGCCTGCGCCAAAATATCAAAATCTGGCTTTGAAGGTAGAGTGCTCAAGAATCTACTTTATTAGCGAGTAAATCAGTCAGTAAATCATTGCACCAATTTTGTCCTCGAAGGGCGAGGGGGTTACACTTGGGGGATAAACAGCCTGCGCCAAAATATCAAAATCTGGGTTTGAAGGTAGAGTGCTTAAAAATCTGATTTTTTAGCTAATAACACAACATTCCGCTAATTTTGGTCTCCAAGGACAAGGGGGATAGATTTCGGGGGATCAAACAGCCTGCGCCAAAATATCAAAATCTGACGTTGAAGGAAGAGTGCTCAAAAACCTACTTTTTTAGCGAATAATTGAGCACTCCATCAGTTCTCTCGGAGGAGGAGGAGGAGATTTGGGGTGGGGAGGGGACATTAATCAGCCTGCCACACATTTCAACAAAATTCATCACAAATTTGCTTCAAAGGTAAAGTGCTAACCCCATTTTCATTTCATTCCCAGTATAGATCCGATTTTTTAGCTAAGAACTGAGCATTCTACATTCTTGGAGGAGGAGGAGTAGGTTTGGGGGGGGGGGGCAGAGGCCTGCGCCAAAATTTCAAAATCCGACTTTGAAGGTAGAGTGCTAAAAATCTGATTTTTTAGCGAATAACACAACATTCCGCTAATTTTGGTCTCCAGGACAAGGGGCTAGATTTCGGGGGATCAAACAGCCTGCGCCAAAATATCAAAATCTGACTTTGAAGGAAGAGTGCTCAAAAACCTACTTTTTTAGCGACTAAATCAGCATTGCACCAATTTTGTTCTCGAAGGGCGAGGGGGTTACACTTGGGGGTAAACAGCCTGCGCCAAAATATCAAAATCTGGCTTTGAAGGTAGAGTGCTCAAAAACCCACTTTTTTAGCGAATAATTGAGCACTCCATCAGTTCTCTCGGAGGAGGAGGAGGAGATTTGGGGTGGGGAGGGGACATTAATCAGCCTGCCACACATTTCAACAAAATTCATCACAAATTTGCTTTGAAGGTAAAGTGCTAACCCCATTTTCATTTCATTCCCAGTATAAATCCGATTTTTTAGCTAAGAACTGAGCATTCTATCAGTCTTGGAGGAGGAGGAGTAGGTTTGGGGGGGGCAGAGGCCTGCGCCAAAATTTCAAAATCTGACTTTGAAGGTAGAGTGCTAAAAATCTGATTTTTTAGCGAATAACACAACATTCCGCTAATTTTGGTCTCCATGACAAGGGGGGTAGATTTCGGGGGATCAAACAGCGTGCGCCAAAATATCACAATCTGGCTTTGAAGGAAGAGTGCTCAAAAACCTACTTTTTTAGCGAGTAAATCAGCATTGCACCAATTTTGTTCTCGAAGGGCGAGGGGGTTACACTTGGGGGATTAATAGCCTGCGCCAAAATTCGAAAATCTGACTTTGAAGGTAGAGTGCTCAAAAATCTGATTTTTTAGCGAATAACACAACATTCCGCTAATTTTGGTCTCCAGGACAAGGGGGGTAGATTTCGGGGGATCAAACAGCGTGCGCCAAAATATCACAATCTGGCTTTGAAGGTAGAGTGCTCAAAAACCCACTTTTTTAGCGAGTAAAACAGCATTGCACCAATTTTGGTCTCGAAGGGCGAGGGGGTTACACTTGGGGGATAAACAGCCTGCGCCAAAATATCAAAATCTGGCTTTGAAGGTAAAGTGCTCAAAAACCTACTTTTTTAGCGAGTAAATCAGCATTGCGACAATTTTGGTCTCGAAGGGCGAGGGAGTTAGACTTGGTGATGAACAGCCTGCGCCAAAATTCGAAAATCTGACTTTGAAGGTAGAGTGATCTGGTTTGGTTTCAAAAATCTGGTTTTCCTTACCGAATAACCCTGCATTCCACCAGTTTCAGGGTAAAAGGGTCTCGAAAAGGGTAACTTTCGAAGTTCTTGTAGGAGTCTTATTCGGAGGCTCATCACCCTTTGCCCAAATTCCAAGAATATTATTTTTCTCATGCAAGTCTGCTGAAAAATATGCTTCAACGACTGATTATTTTGATTTTGGTTTCGCAAAGGGATGGGGAGATCCGGGAAGACTAAATCAGCCTATCCCGCCCACATTTCAATAAAATTCGTTCTAAAGTCGCTTTTGGGGACATTAATCAGCCCGCCACATATCACAACAAAATTCATCAAAAATTTGCCTTTGACATTTTACCATTCGATATCGAAGGAGGACGGGTATAGCCTGCTCCAGAAATCATCAAAATCTGGCTTAGAGGTAAAAATCTGATTTATTTGCGAATAAAACAGCGTTCCGCCTATTTTTGTCTCGGAGGGGGATGAGTAGATTTGGGGGAATCAAACAGCCTGCTCCAAATATCATCGAAGATCTGGCTTCAAAGATAGAGTGCTCAAAAAGCTGATTTTTTAGCGAACAACCCAGCATTCCACAATTTTGGTCACTGAAAGGGAAAAATATTTGGGGGATCAATCAGCCTGCGCCAAAATTCATCAAGCTGGCTTTGAAGGTAAATGCTCAAAAATGATTTTTTTATCGAATTACCCAGCTCCCACCAGTTGGTCGCAGAGCCTATTGTCCACATCTGTTGCTCGCACAAATTTCAGGAAAACCATGAAAAAATTATCCTTCGGGAAATGATTAATTGGACTCATCGGCCTGCTCTGCTTGCATCTGAGCAAAATTCATTACAAGTCTATCTTTTGGGGTAACAGCGCTAAGAAATCTGTTTTTTTAGCGAAGGAGTGAGAATAATACCAACTTTGTTTTTTAAAGAATTAAAAATTTGACACCTACAAAGTAGAGTCCCATTTTGGAGAACTGTCCTCAGAAATTTCAGAAAATGATGGATACACATTCTTTCGAAAAAGCTCGCCTAAAAATCTGATTTCTATAGGGAAAATCGAGCGTTCAGTCGATTTTGGTCTCAAAAAGAGGGGAGAACGGAGAGGGTAAAATTTGGCGTTTGCAAGGTAAAGCCTTTTTTAAAAAGTTCAGGGTGAAATTTGACGTTCGCAAACAGACATTCAGCTATATATTAGGTCGTCCCGAAAGTTTTGTCAGTTTTTTCAGACCACTAAAGGCCACGCACAATGAAGATCCGAATGAGCTTCAGCGTGTTTTCGATGCAGCTTTTCCTTCTCTTTCTTGTGGTTACATTTTCGAACCACAATCCTGTATGCTTTCTTTGGTAATTGCTTAAATTTTTCACCCATCATTTTTGTCTGATCATAGTTCGGCTAATTTTTGAGAATTTCAATTCAAAGTTTCGAAATGGATTAAATATGGATTAATTAGAGCAAATCTCGGACTACAAGATATATTTTTAGATTCCATTAATCTGCTGATTTTCGCTTCAAAAATTATTTTTTCGGAGGTCTCGATTTTTTGGCAAAGTCATGAAACACGCAACTGCAGCAAAAACATGAAAACTTCTAAAGTTTCTGCGAATTGCAACATGATTCTTATTAAACACTATTTATGCAACATTACCCAGTTTGACGTGCTTTGAAAAAGCAGCTTTTTGGAATTTTCGGTACTTTTACGTGGCAAACGTAATCAAAAAGCCGCGGTTCTTAATAAATAAATAATTATAACGGACTTGGTAAAGGTGACTCAGTAATCTAAAATGGGTATAACGTAGCCAAAGGTTTGCTTTACATAATAGTTATGAGCGCTCGTTAAAATCAAAATAAAAATTTTCAGAATTTAGGAAAGTTTTGGCATTACTATTGATCTGCTCAAAAAACCATGGCGATAACATTGCAAAGACAGGGTAGATCAGAGAGCAAATATAGCTGTAAGAAAGAGGAAGAAAAACTATAAATGGTACCTAGAACGTTTATGAACTGGTGTTTTGTGAGTTTTAGTGAGCGATGAAAAAAGCCGACAAAACTTTCGGGACAACCTAATATATAAGAATTAGCGTAGGTTTTTGCTGTTCTAAACATGCGTTTCTCAAAGTATCTGCCTTCACCCACTTGCTAGCGACCCGTAGGGTCGCTAGTCTTATATATAAAGCTGAATGTCTGTTTGTCTGTCTGTATGTCTGTATGTCTGTCTGTCTGTCTGTCTGTACGTATGTTCCGAATAGAAAATTCCATTTCTGAACCGATCCGGACCAAACTTGGCACACATACACTACGGGCCCCGGCCGGTGTCATAGGCTACTTTTCGTCATCGATTGATGTCGATTTTATCGATTTTTTGCAAAATTTGAGCTAGGGGGCTAAAATTTGGCAGAGGGGTGTAATCGAGCATGCTGATCACCCCCGTAGGGATGATCACCATGCTCGATTACACCCCCTGCCAAAGTCCAGCCCCCTAGCTCAAATTTTGCAAAAAAAATCGATAAAATCGATAAAAGTAATGCACGGTTTCGAAAACTAATATTGTATTCGTAATCAGCATGCTCGATTACACCCCTCTGCCAAATTCCAGCCCCCTAGCTCAAATTTTGCCAAAAATCGATAAAATCGACATCAATCGATAACGAAAAGTGGATCGTGACACCCGCCGGGGCCCGAAGTGTATGTGTGCCAAGTTTGGTTCGGATCGGTTAAGAAATGGAATTTTCTATTCGGAACATACGGCGGAGCCGGGTATGCCAGCTAGTTCATAATAATTCATTCTTAGGGCCGCATGCACGAACAGGAGAGCTGGGGAGGGGATCGCAGCTTCAGAAGAAAGCTTCATATCCTGAAGCTCCGAACTTCTGAATTTCACGCTGTCTACCTGTCCGTAAGTATTCCTACCACCCCTTACTACGAACATATTGAACAGGAGCAAGAAGCTGTACAAGCCGCTTTTTCCAGCTTTTTGTACGATCCCCTGGTGATCCCCGGGGGACGACCGGTTCTTCTTTAAAGTCATTTTTCTTTCTGCGAAGTTAACGAAAACCATCCAAATTGTACTGAACATCTAATACAGCAGTGCTAAGCATGTTGCTGATGAGAACAAATGAGTCTTTGAAAAGTCGAATTTTCCGGTAAACCTCAAATTTCGACCTGTGGATCATCGAAAATTTCATGACTTCGAAACATCAATTGTTCTTACCAGAAATAGGTGAGCACTGTTGGGTTAGATAAACTGCACAACTTTGGAAGCTTTTCATTGACTTCGAAGAAAGAAAAATGATTTCAAAGAAGTGGCGGTCGTTCCCCGGGGATCACTAGGGGATCGTACAAAAAGCTCTAAAAATCCACTTGTTCAGCTTCTCGCTCCTGTTCAGTATGTTCATAGTGAAGGATGGTAGGAATACTTACGGACAGATAGACAGCGTGAAATCCAGAAGTTCGGAGCTTCAGGATATGAAGCTTTCTTTTGAGCTGCGATCCCCTCCCCAGCTCTCCTGTTCGTGCATGCGGCCCTTAAACTGCAACATTTCCACAAGTGCTTTGGAAATCCAGTCTCTACAGAAAACTGATATACTGGAGCTTTGAGAAAAAAACTAGGTTAGCTAATAAATAATTTTGGTCAATTTTGCTGCTGAAAATGTAGCACCTACAGCACAAAAGCTACAGAAAATTTTTGTCTAGCGCTTGCTATCTATTAGGTCATTCCGAAAGTAATTTCGCTTTTTTCAAACGGGCACCACATGTGATGGAACAAAGATTTCTAAGAGATCTTGGAAGCATTCGATGCAGAATTTCATTCTCTTTCTAATGTTTATCAAAATGTCGCAAAACAGTCAATGAGCTTTCAGAAAATAACCAAAACCTGCAACCCATGCTTTTTGAGATGGTCAAGTTTTATGATTTTTTAAAACTTTTATATCAATCCTCAAAAGGATTGCAAGTAACGATTCGATAGAGTAAACCTTACAGAATACAGTACTACTTTTTTCTCCTTTCCATAGCTAGTCATACATTTTTAACAGAATTTTAACTGATGGTACCAATTTCCATACATGGGCAGCTAAATCCTCGTAGAACATCAAAAGAGGAGCAGCTCGCGCACTATTCGATGCAGCATTTTCTCCTCTTTCTAATAGGTCTTTTCTGGTTCCGATTTGTTTAGTTTCCGGGGATAAAATCATCATAACTCATTTTTTTAGCGAGCCCCAGGCTGTACCCAAAAAACTCGAAACTTGATATTTCGAACCCGTAAACCCTCACATGCTTTGTAAAATTTATGCTAACTCATAGTACTATCTTGGTAGTCTCAAATTCCGAAGAATTATGATGTTCGTTGCCATTGTGGCTGAGGTGGGCCTGCCAAAATCCGATGGTTCTGTTAAAAAATCTTTTAAAAAATTACGGCTAGATACGAGGAAGAGAAAAAAGTAGTGCTATATTCTATAAGGTTTACTCTATGGAATAGTTACTTGCAATCCTTTTGAGGATTGATATAAAAGTTTTAAAAAATCATAAAACTTGATTATCTCAAAAAGCATGGGTTGCAGGTTTTGGTGATTTTCTGAAAGCTCATTGACTGTTTTGCGACAATTTCATAAATATTAGAAAGAGAATAAAATTCTGCATCGAATGCTTCCAAGACCTCTTAGAAATCTTTGTTCCGTCACATGTGGTGCCCGTTTGAAAAAAGCGAAATTACTTTCGGAATGACCTAATATAAAAGTGCACTTCAATGATAATTGAATGTAAACTCTGTTCGAGCAGATTTTATTTTCTTGCAGAGAATTGAGTTATTCCAATTTTCTCATTGTGTGCCCAAAGGCAAAAATTTTGCTTTTTAATCAGCAAATTTCAAAATCTGGGGTCACGCTTCTTATTTTAATTTGCTGAAACAACTTGTGCGCATCCAATTACAAAATTACTTTACTCATATCCCATCACAAAACGAAAACGAAAATCAGAAAGACCAAGGATTAGGCTTCCGGCAATTTAGCTATATTGGGGCGTTACTGTCATCTAAGGATAGTATAAAGTTCAGGGTAGTTGGTATGTGATAGTAGAAGCTTCAAATTCTTCCCCTCAAAAATATTATGGATGAAAAGTATCAAGAAAAGTCTTTATGGATATTCGCATGCCAAAAAATACTATGCATTTTCTCTGTTGCCAACTCGTATTTAGCATAAGCGATCAAGTAAGAAGATAATCGCATAAAAGATTGAAGCAACTATTCCTTGCTTACAAAATTATTTTCATCGCATAATCAAAAAAGCTTTTAAGGTAGTTTAACAGCTGCTCAAAATTAAATCATTTGTTCCTTGATCAGTAACGAATAAATTTTGAAACAAGGAAAAGATGGTTTGTTAACAGGTTTGGCAATTGAATCTAAAGTCAAGTTTTTACAGAAAAATGTAAGACGTGGTTTACAAATTATTTATTGACATTGAGCAGGGTATTTTGATTGCGCTCTCAATAAAAACTTATGTGATCTCTTACCGCCACATTACAAAATCCAGCATTGAATAAATAAACCGGTTTTGAAAACACTTTACACGCAGTTTTAGATTAGCAAAACAGTGAAGATATGTGTGAGTAAAACACTGAATATTTTACATTCAGAGTGCTTTTATCGTAACAGTATGGATAGACATGATGAACAAAATACAAATGGAACAGCATAAAATTGATTAGAATTACAGATTTATATGCTATGCTTTCAAAAGCGGCTGTGACGAGCAGCTGCTGTTGCTAACCGCAGTGGGTTGCTAGACATTGAAGGCAGTGTCTCGGGAAAAATTGCG